GGTAGAGGGTGAGCAAGGGGAAGAGCAAAGGAGGGACTTGGAAACTCTGCGCGTGTAGCAAATCGTCGAAAATGTCTTTGAATTCGAGTAATGTGTAATAGGAGGGAGAAAGCGAAAGAGAGAATGGGGGCAAAATGGGAAGATCCAAAGCTAACTACCAGTTAAAGGCTCCAACGGAGGTAGCGAAAGACCAATAATAATCGTACGTACGAGAACTGCGATGGAACGTAATGGACAAAGCGTCGTATTCATTTTCTTGGTACCTTGGTAAATCGCCTTTTTGTCCTAATGCTCGTTTCCATCGACGAGATCTCTCCTATTAACTTACGCGTTTTCTTAATTCATGAAATATAAAGGAAGACGATCAATGCTTTTTCGATATCATTTTGTCATACGATAAAAAAAAACGTTTGTTCCTAGTACCCGTCAATCATCATTATCGTCACGGTTTATCTTTTAGTTTGAACGTTTTCCTACGAATTATTTACGCGAGGGATTGTTCGATAAAGAAGAAAAAGGAGAGCAAGAGAAAACGATACACCTTGGTTCGTTCTTACGAGGTCAACGACCAAGAAGGATGAGAAAGAAAAAGAAAATAAGATAAGAAAGAGAGAAAGAAAAGTACCACGATTGCCCCGAAGTTTTTACCTCGTGCTTCTCAATCGATCGCGAACGTTGGACGAAATCCTTGAAAGAAATGCTCCTACCGATTTCGAAGATCTCCAAGACAAGAAAGTTCCTGCGATCGTATTTTCGAGAGGGAAAAGTCGATCTGAAAGATGCGAGCTAACGCTTTCGCAATCGTTCATCAAACTTCCTTGGGAGTTAGCTTTCCTTTTTCTTTTCTCTCGCTCGGTACTCCTTTCGACCACGCCTTCTGCCACCCCCCTCCCCCCTACGTGGGGTTGTGTACCCCACGGCACCTACCATACGCGTCGACCATAATAACCAACGAATCAACGCTACGAATGTTCAATGTTTCGTCTGGCAAATGGCCGATCTCCAGACGCGCAGCTAAGATTGCCAACCGTTGACCCAAGAACGACGAACTTGGCTGCGAAAGAACTCGGAAAAGTGTGCACATTTCCCGCTGGATAAGACACCCTTGTCCATTTTTATACTCTCTCCTTCTTTTGCTCCTTTATCTTTTTAGTTTCGGTTCGCTTGTTCACTTCAGCCAACAACTTCATTTTCATTAATTATCAAAAATACTCTTATTATCTTCGACAAATTTACATATTAATTTTAATCAAGATTAGTAGCATTTAACGATGAGTTTGAATAATTGCTGCAAACAGCCCATTAAACTCTCCTCGTTGATCTTCCGTCAACAAAATTTCATTAAATGTTTCATACATTTCTCCTTGTATTTTTTATCTCTACGAATTAGCAAATTTTTCATCGTATCTTGAAATCAGAATAGGTTTGCTAAAGTGGCTCTCGAAATTCTTTCAGACTTATTCCTACGTATATCGGATTAATGCATTTGGAGAAGAAAAGAGGACATGAATTTTCTTAGGTCTTAGCTTTTTCCTCTTGGAAACAACGTCGAGACGAACGTCCGACTGCATAATTCTTCGAGTTTATCTGGTAAATAGCAAACAGGACAAGAGAACGCTCTTTTCTAGAGCATCGTAACTTGGGAAATCGGGAGAACGCGAGTTGCAAATCAAGTAGCGGATCTACTAGAGAACATTTTATACCTTTTTCTTATGCTTTTTCTCTTAACTACTAGCTACTCGCTTATTTCCTTTCCTCGGTTCAGAGATTTTCATCCGGTCTTTTCCTTACTTTCTTTCTCTTTTCTTCCTCTTTTCTTCCTCTTATTCGACCTTTTAATCTCATGAAACTGTTAGATGATGTAGAGACTTTTCTTCTTCCTTCTACCTTCGTACTAGTATCTATCTCTTCGAGTAGTACGCGGCACAATTAGTTCTTGTCTTTACGAATTAATTCGCTACGATCTTTCCTCGGTAGAAGAAAAGAAAAGAACAATTGCATATATGCGTATGCGAACAAATCTTGACAAAAAAGATGTAATAAAATTCATTTCAAACTACGAATTATATTATTTAATGTTGACTCAATTTTATTTAATATTTAATTACATTTTCTTCTAGTATGCGTAACCCAAAAAAGAGTAACAGACATTATTTGACAAGACGAAAGAAATGTTATCGGCTGGCGACACGAGAACAAAGGATTCTACCTTAATTATAATTTAATTACTGAAAGAAGCCACAGACGGACGTTACCACCCCCTGACGCAACCCTCATTTCGAAAGACGTCGACGATACTTTTTCTTCTTCTTCTTCTCCTTCTCCTTCTCCTTCTCCTTCTCCTTCTCCTTCTCTTCCCTATTCGTCCATTATTTTTGTTCTTTTTCTTTCCTTTTGTTTCCTATGTTACGCGCTTAATACCGAACCGGGCAGAACGATATAAATCTTTGATCTTGTTCGAAGAGTCGCTGATATTGAAGTTGAGAGTATTGTTCGTAAATAGGAAGATAGAAAATCGTGATGGATGTTTCACAAAGAGAAACTACAAATCTCTCTACGTATCGAGCTTAATTTTGCTGTCCCTTTTCCTTCTACATCTGTTTCATTTCTCTTTCATTTCTCTTTCATTTCTCTTTCATTCCTCGTTCATTCCTCGTTCATTCCTCGTTCACTCGTTGCTTTCTTCACAAAGAAACGGACCACAAGGATGAGCTTGGTACTAATTCGAAAGACGATACGCCCCCGAATCGGTTCTAATCTCGTTCTCGCCGTGCTTGCAGGATCGCAATAAAGTCTCTGCAACTTGGTGGTCTTTGCGCTCAAGGGCCGAAATCGTTCAAAGCTACGGAGAATGAGCTTTTCCAAATATATCCATTAAAAGTCTACTCGTCAAAAAAGTAGCGATTGTAGCATATCAAATAAATTCGTTTGTCGATCAATCGACAAAAAAATAAGAGGGAAGAAAAGTCGTTCGAAGAAAACCTCGATTTAAATCCCATCACGATATAAGTCTCTCTATCGAACGGACGTCTCGAAAAAGGGTCTTGGTTCACGTCGGAAGCTGAAAAATCGTCATCAAGAAGAAAAAAGTACAAGAGAGAGATGGAGAGAGAGAGAGAGAGAGAGTACTCTACCGTAAAAAGATCAAATGTCACGGGAGTCCTTTCTCGAGTAGTGTTCACGTGTGAGTTGTTTCTCGCTTGCACATATATACACCGTTCCACGGTATATATGTATATGTATATATACCCATACAAATGTAAGTATACTCGAGAATATATACGACGGTAACAGCAACGATACGCTGCGGCGAAGTTCATTTGTGCCAGGTGACAAGGAAGATGTTGAGAGTAAACGAGATAAATAGAAAGAGAAAGGGAAGGCGATATAGATAGAGAATGATAGAGAGAGAGAGAGAGAAAGGTAAATAAAAAAAAAACAACAAGAAGAAAAGAAATAGAAGTGGAATGAGAAAGGGAGGAAGGCAGCGTAACGCCGCCGACGTTTCCTTCGTTGCGTCGCTGCGAACGAGCGAATTTAATTTCTGGGTAACATTACACCTTAGGAGCCTTATTCCGAGCGCCATTGTGCGCGCCTGCGGGGGTGGTACAGAGAGACACTCGATCGCAGGACTCCATTTGCGGTTTAGCATAATGGAAACCCAACGCTCCCCGGGGCCACCCTCGGTTTCCCCCTCGTCTCTATTTTGCCCACCACCACCTCCACCTACAACTACGACGACGACAACGACGACGACAACGACGACGACAACCGCATCTACCATCATCTCCTCCTTTTCCTCTCGTGGTACAACTGTGGACAACCGAGTCTTGGTCTTCTCGGACATTCAATTGTTGACGAAAAGCTTCCTAATCATCCTACATACTCTGTGCCTACAGATTTATAATCTCCAAGGATTCTTCTATTCATAGTAAAGCTGTAAACGTTATATTTCTTCTTTCCAAACAGATCATTTAATAATTATTAGTTAGTAAGATAATATGTTGATCTTTTTTTGGCTCTAATGTCAGTGGTGAAGTATTTACGTGACTTAATCCCGTGGTGGCTAATTTAAGCAGACCACGTTTAAAGTCGATATAAAATTTAACGAATTCGTAAGAGTGGGGTAATGAAGAAGCTTTCAGAAAAATGAAAATTCTACTTTTGGGATTGAAAGATGGAAAGAGAAGTAAGGGATAAACGTCGAGCGCGTTTCTATACGCACCACAATGACACACTCATTCCATCATGATAATTACATTTATACGTTATCCCTGGCCTTTTCCCTCTCTTTCTTTAACTATATGTCTGTCTGAGTCTTCTTTTTCAAATTACACGCTCGTGGAAACATAAAATCGAATTGCTATGCGAGCTTGACCGGATTGGCAGAGGAAGAACAGATAAAAAAGAAAGAAAGAGAAGGGAAGAGAAGGGAAGAGAAGAAAAAAGAAAATGGAAAATGAAAAATAAAAAATGGAAAACGAGTTAATCACCGAGCCTCTACCTCGAGTGAAATTACAAAGGCAAAAATTACGCGGATAATCGCTTTCCGCAACGGTAATTGCAATCAGCCAGTGGAACAAAGGCTTAATTGGCATCTTCGGCGATACGCTAATAGCAAGTCTTATTCGACGATCGCAAACGCAAATGTGCTTATCATATATGGTTTTTCTTCTTATTTATTGATTTCAACAGATTGAGAAAAAATATACCTAATTAGTATTTAGAAATAATAAAAGGCAATAATAATCTAAAAGCGAGAAAATCCATTGTCAAATAAACTGTCGCACTTGATTCCATTTAAAGGAGAAACGAGAAGGTCCTCGATTAACTTTATAAACGTTGTTCACTTTTTCTTCTTACCTTATTTTTTGTTTTTTTTTTTTTTCTCTTGTAAGAGTAGTAGCGACGGTGGTAGTGGCGGCGGCGGCAGCAGCAGCAGCCCCAGCCCCAGCTCCAGTACTCATTCTTTTTTCCATTTTGTTTTTTCAACGTTACAGAGAGAGCTGTGATGAGGGAAGCAGGCTAGAAGAAGGACCCTGTCGCGCATGTGCCGGTAGGAGCACAAGAAAGATGCCGCCATCCTCGAGAGCCTTATTAAGCCCGGTGCTGCTTCTAATCTTCGCAGGAAGCATCGGTGCCTTCAACTCGCGACAAGGAGGTAAGAAGCTTCGAGCTTTCACGACGAAGATTTAGACGATGTAGGATGCTTTGTCGTGAAAAGAAACTACGACAACGACGACGACGACGACGACGACGAAGACGAGGGAAGGATCACGACAATGACGAGGATAAAAACAAGTGGAGTGGGAAGGGATGAAATGATAATGATGCATCCAAGAACGAAGGGTAGATATTTACCGTAGAAAATGTCGATGAACAGAACCGAGCTCGACGCGTTCGCGATCGTTCAACAACTTTTCCTTCTTAGTATTTTATTTTCTTCGGCAAAATATACAGTAGACAACTGCACAATATTTACTCACTCCGTCCACCAAACTACTTAATGCGATTTTCTAGTTTCCTTTCTTTCTCTCTTTCTTTATCCTTTTGACTTTCGTTAATGTATTATCTTTAAGTAAATATTCCTTGTGGATAACTTATTATTATAAGTAGAGATGGACAAAGTATAAAAGAATTTTTCATTTAAAGTCGTGAGACAATTTGAGAAAAGGTATTAGATACGCACGTTTCGATACTCACCGAAGAAAGAAAATGCGAATACGTGCGAGATATTTCCTAGGTTTGTAGTACTACTTTCTGGTGTTAGCAGTTCCTACATTTTCGCCTCTCTCTCTCTCTCTCTCTCTCTCTCTCTCTCTCTCGCTCTCTCTCTCTCTCCACCCTTTGTCTTCTGCTATCCGCAGAGGAGAGTCGCTTTTGTAGAGAGTAGCTCTTAGTGGCCATTTCCTAGATTAAGGTCACCTGAAAAGCAGATAGTTGTAAGATGGGAAAGAGAGAGAATGAAAGAGCAAGAGAATCTCCAAGTACGAAGGGCAAAACTTCTCGTATACGCTTCAGGAAAACTGTTACGCGTTACGGACATCGTGTTCGAGAGATAGTGCACTCTCGAGAATTTCGGAATGCGCCGGATAAATTGTTCGAAGATTTACGAGATTTAGTAATGACTCTAAGCGCAACCACTTTAAAGTTAAGTACAGTTACATTCGGACCGAGAACACACCACGCGTCTCGCGGACTCCTATCGTTCTTGCCGTTAAAGTTTCTTTTTTTCTTTCTTTCTTTCTTTCTTTCTTTTTACCTTGAAAACTTGGACAAATTCGTGGTAATTTAAGAGAATCGCACCAACGTTTATTTTAGGCTCCTGCATCTCGCGATAACCGTTGGCCCAGTGAAAATGATCAATAGGACATTGGCATAACATATACCCGACGACATTATAATATTACATTTAATTAAAAGCGTATAAAAATATCATTTCATAAATTATTAAATGCAACGCATACAACATTTTAATATCCAATTACGGGGATTTTAATATTCAATGATCTGTTTCGATAAAAATGACTCGTATACATAAATATATTCTAGATACGCGAGCGTTAATGTCGAAGAATAATTTCGATTTTCGAGACTCGAGAAGAAAAAATGAAAAAAAGAAAAAACTAATAAGAAGAAAAAGAGGAAGCTCTTTCTCTCGGAATTCTCCGAGGAATTTCTACCTTTCATTAGAAAAAAAAAAAAAGAAAAAAAAAAAGAAAAAAAAAAAGGAAGAAAAAAAAGCAGAAAAAAGAAAAAAAGTCGAACAAAGCGGTATTGTTAGCGTGGTACGTTCTACGCTAATTGCCGGACTTTCAACGAGTATCGTTATATCGCTAAAAACCCTAAATTGGTCTCGAAACTCGGGGAGAACAAAGTTCATGATAGAATGAAATAACATCGACGATATCTGTCGAAATATAGATTAGTCGGATATAACTTCGGCGAGTTTTTTCCAAGGAAAATTATTATTTTTATTTTTCTTCTTTCTTTTTTTGCAAATGTGGACTTAAAAAAATGCTCGAGTATACATATCGGTTTGACCTAATTCCAAATGAAAACCTCCTACGTTTACGAGCTAGAAACGAGTTAGAAACGAGTTAGAATCTCTCTTGGGTTGGATACTGTAATCGTAGAAAACTTGATTAGCGCGAAATTGATGTCCGGAACAGGGATGGAGGAAAAATTTGTCGGTGACTTCAAAACCAATGGTGACGGCAAGTTTGTAGGAAAGAAAGGTCGCTCTAATCGCATGACAAATAAGATTATCTGATCGAATATTAATGGTAATCTCGCGTAACCCCTCCTGCGATTTGTGACGAATTACTAGCTTTTGCCTCTTTTTTTATTTGCTTTTGCAAATAAAAAATGTAGGAACAATGTCTCTATAAAAGTAATAATTCATTGTAAAAATAATCAAATTGACACTCGAGTTAAGAGCAAATATCTGTGATTCACTGCATGGATTCGTATTCTTTGGCAGAAGCTAAACGTTTAAGTGGGTCTCCCTAATTAAGCTCGCTTTACGACTGTTCGAAACGTTACTGTCACTCCGTTGTCGTCCGGTTGTCCGCGTTTCTTACGTCGGCGTTTTAACGAACGACTAGAAACTCTCTCTCTCTCTCTCTCTCTCTTCTCTTCCTTCCTCTTTTCCAAACACAAGTACGTGATTGCTTTGGCCTCTTTTGCCGGCTCGTGTCGCCTTTTTTTATACGTGCGAGGGAGTAGGACGTGCCTAGAGTTCTTCTTTCGCCGCAAGCATAGCGATGATACAAATGGAAAGAAAGAAAGAAAGAAAGAAAGAAGAAAAGGAGAAAGGGAATTTAAGTGTAACGATAGAGAAGAGGAACGAAGAGACACGAAGGAATACTCGTTCGTGCTGGGAACGAACGTGAGGGAAGATTATCTTGGGGAAAGGGAATCGTCCTTGTAGAATCTTGTCAGCCAATGCTCATCAAGCAGATATATTTAAGGTCTCTTTTTTTTCTTTGTTCATGTTCTTATAAACTATTACAAACTATTAGCTTCTTCAAATAGCTCATCATACTTACTTATATCGAAGTTAGGAATAAATTGTAAATTGTTTGATTGAAACAATAAAAAAATAATGTTTCTCTTGAAAATGATTGGAAAAAGTCAATATTATTTTACAACTACTGTATGAAATAGTCGATATTTCCGTAAAAATCGAAGAAATTGTTCTCGTTAATTGAAATGTTTGAATTCTGATGTAGATTTGAGCGAGTGCATAGGTAATAGGGTAAGTACTATTAGTAAAAGGGCAATTACTAAAGTACGAGATTCGCGAAATCGAGTCAAAGTTATTTCTTCCAGTGAACGGACTCGTAAAATGACTGGCGCCCTTAGTAAAAGAGTATCCAATCAGAAAGAAGCATTTCTTTCTCCGTCGAGCCGATTTCTTACGTTAATCTCATATCCTTCGTCGAGAGGAGACGTATAAGTTGGACTATCTATAGGTCAGCCCCATTAATTCCTCTCACGGAGTAGAGCTTGAAAAAAAATTCGATTCCACAGCAATATTCACGATTGGTCGCGCCCATCGGAAGATGAAAGAGTGCCAAGTGTGCTAGAGATTTTTATTTCCGGAATAAAAGCGCTCATGAATTCGTTCCACCGAATAGTTAACTCTACCTCCTAGTCTCTCAGTTTAGAAAAAACAAGAAAAAACAAGAAATACGAATTTCGATTCCCCATGAATGACAATTTTGTTATTTTTATTTTCTCTTCATCCGATACTTCCTCTTACACATTTTTCTTTTTTCTTCGAACATTTGATACGACGAATGATCAAAATATACGTGTACGTCTTTTCGAAGTAGCCAAGAAATATAATAATAATCTTATATTTATAAGTTTAATATATAATAAATGGAGCTGATAAAAAGAAAATAATTTGTGTTGCTCATTTATCAATGGTCGAAGATGTAAAAGAGAAAGAGAGAAAGAGAGAAAGAGAGAGAGGTGTCAGAGAAACTCGAGTTCGCGCATAGTTGACTTCTCTCTTTCGAAAGTCGAACTTTAGTCTCTTTTTCCCTTCTTACTTACTTATATCGACTTTCTTGCATTCACGAAAGTGGTCGGTAGATAAAACTCGTCGCTACTAAAGTCCCTAGGCGCGGCAAGTTCGCGTAACCGTAAGGACGATGAGAAACGAGCCCGTAGGAATTTTCACTAGCGTCTTTTCTCGATCAAAAGAATCCGAATGTTGTTGTATCCAACGAACACACTCATTTCTTCCACTCGCTATGACTTTTCTATCACTTTATCCCCAATAAAAGCAGGCCAAAAAAATTTCTATAAATTTTCCGTGCTTGGCTAAATGTATTTTCTATAAAGAATATATAGGCATAGTGAAAAGAAATTCGAGCACACACTCGTTTGACGCAAAGAAACATTAAAAACACGTATTATGGGATTATAGACTGGTCTTTCAGGATCGAGACGTAATTTAAACGAGCAGTCTCGGGAAAATGTTAATAGAGTATTCCCTTTCAAAAGTTCGACAAGCGTGCACACGCTCGTTTTCGAGCTTAGCCCCATTGCTTGCTTTGAGATGTATCAAAGGTAGTATAAGGTTGGATGGGATTAGTATCTCGCAGTAAAATAATGACGTGTGTTGGCCATTTGCGCGCGCGTTTACCGATGGAATGAAGCAGGAAGTTCGAAAGGGGGAAGGCTGGATATAAACGGGTTGGGAAGGAAAGGAGGAAGAACTTATCGGGGATGGATTTAATTCCTTAAAAGCTAATGCATTTCGAAGTCAAACTTTCCAGCGAAATTCCGTGCGCCCATTTGATTTACATACGCGCGAAGGATCAGCCGGGATAAAAGATAACCAAGCTTCTCTCTTTCCTCCACGTTCATGGAATAAATATCCATGCGAGAGAAGAAATGTATCCGATGTGCTAGAATGCGCGATAGACCGAAATAAAAGTCGCCTGCTGCTTGACAACAAGCAAAAAGTTTAACCAAACAATTCTAATTATTTACCTGATATTCCTATCGAAAAATACTCTACTTTTTATTCATTTATTTATATTATATAGTAGATAACAAATTAATACAAATAATATTTCCGTATTACGAATATAATCTTTTGTACGTTGAAAAAGATGAAGAAATGTTGGGACGAGTAGAAGG